AGAACCAGCAGGAGCCAGCTCACTGATGACAGGAGATGCCTCTTTTTACAGCCTGCCAGGTTGTCCTGTGGCTCTGCTCCCTCTCAGACTGACTCAGGGACCAGACGGAGCAGGGGCTGGGCGGAGCCTGCACACTTCCCCTCCTATTGGTTGAGTTACCATTGTTTCTAAACCTACTTATGCCAGTTGTACTTAAAATTCTAATTACATAATTCAAATAAATACTGTGTAAAGCAAAGAAATATTAGTGTGAAAAGAGAGTTCTTATCTCCACAGAACCAAGGTGAAAACCTTAGAAACATTCAATAATATTGAAGAGAAGGAGAGGAGGAGACTGAGGATTGCTTTGCAACCGCTCTTTAAATTTCCAGTCCACTTTCAAGAAACCCAACCTGGAACTTGTAGATGACGCAGTACTGCTGAGGTTTATGCCAGAAGGGCCATGTGAAAAGCCATTCAGCAGATCTATACAAACAAAAAGCCTCGGTCCGCTAGCAAATGATTAGTAAATGAATGCATGTGTTCAGTTAAACAAAAAAAAGTTTAAATTGCACATGTATCAATTTTTATGATTCTCTGGCTTTTTAATTAATTAATCAGACACCAATCCTGATTGTATCCTGATTACTTCTACTGCTCTGCTCTTGGGGTAAGACCACCGGGTCTGTGGTACGAAACACTAAATTGGAATACAGGTAGAACTTCTCATCATGCCCTAGCTCTTTGCTTTCTCTCCAAAGGCATTAGACAAGAAGAGTAAAAGCAGCTGACAGGTAAGTGAGCATTTTCCCGGGGTTTCGTCTTACAAACTCAGAGGTGGAAGAACCATCAAGACATCATGTGGTTCAGGACCCACTCTTTTTACCCCTTTTCAGTGGTGAGGCAACTGATCCTCTGAGTGCTCGAGGGAGCCAGGAAGTGATAGAGAAAAGCAAGAATCAAGTCTGCATCTGCCAATACTGAAGAGGAAGCCCTTTTGACCACTACAGATGTTTCTAGAATTAGAAATCAGTTTAAGACGGTGAGGACACACGTCTTCACCATAGCTCCCTTTCTCCAGCTTTCTTTTCACATGAAATAGAGTGAAAAGGAATTGGGAAATATCGACAACAATTTTTGGAGACCTATGTAACATAATAAACAAAGCTACACTGTCTGCTTATGTCTTGTTGCTCATTCCTTTCATCAGAGACATCTTAACACACTGGCTACTCAAGAACTGCAGGAGGTGGCTCAAAGGTGCTGGTGCTTTTTTGGCCCCTTTTAGCCTCTTTGGTGGCAGCTACTGGCTCCAAAGGAAAGCAGCTGGGGTGAGAAGTCAGGGGAGAGTGACAGTGTCCAGGGAGCTCCGTGGGAGGGGAGCCCTCTTGTAGTAAAAACAGAAAGCATTCCAGCAGGACAGGCTGCAGACAGGAAAGAAAGAATTACGCAGGTATTGTGGCCAGAACAGCAAGTACAAAGGAGCAACTCCACAGCGGAGGAAGCTGGCTCACTGATTTCCCCAGCTCCTGTCTGGCCCCCGTGCAATTTCTGTAATGTCTATAAACCAGGGCCAACAGCAGCTGATTGTTTCCAGAGTCCGAGGAAAGGCTTGCAGGAGAGCTGTAATGAAACTGAAAAAGAAGAGGGCTCTTACAATTTGAGGAAGCTCGTGCTAAAATTGGCCCTTCGCCCTGTTGCTGACTTCCTCTGTAACAAAGCCCAAAGCAAATTACTTTGCCTTAATGGGCCCAGCTGTAAAATGGGGGAAATGATGCTCAGCAGCCTGGCGGGACCATAAACACAGCGAAAGCTTTAATTAATGACAAAGCACTTGTTATAACCAAGTACAACCCAAATGCACGGAACCACGTGGACCCCACAAGCACAGCGGAGGCTTTGAAAATCCATCTCCCTGTGGACCTCCACAAGAAGTCAGCAATTTTTCATGGAAGATTTGGGTTAAAAAGAAATTGACTGCCTTCAGGGCAGCACGTTTCAATAGAGAACCGCGTGGGATGGCCAGGCCCACCAGGGAGCTCCAAACCAGAACCCACTCAGAGCTGCAACGCAAAGAGACATTTTAGCCACAGGATAAACACATAAGGACCCAGACTTCAGTGACTCCCTGAAAACCTAGGCAGGAAAACAAAAACACCTTCCTAATGAGACCTTTGGTTCTCATTTCTCTGTGCCTTCAGTAGTCTGAAATCCTCCATCCAGATACAAACAAGATTTTTCCTTTATCAAACCCTCCTTTTCTTGGCTATCTTCCACTAATTCCACTAATTCATTGCTTGCTTCTGCTTCTTGATAAAGGAAGCCAGGCATATTACTAAAAAGAGTTCTTAGAGATACTTATGACTGCCTGAAAGAGCGATAAACATACATACAAAAAATTTGAAAGCCTCCACTATGTATGCGTCACTCACTTTTAGATGTATTATTTTATTTAAATCTTCACAACAACCTCACGAGATAGTTTTCATCATGCTCATTTTTTGTTTGCTGGGTTTTTTTTGGCAGATGAGGAAATGCAGCCTGTATCTGGCCTCGGAGACTCAGGCTCCTTTCATCATGGTTTGGTGGCTTCTGATAGCCGTGAGCCAACTGCAACTGATTCCAACATCTATAGCCTTGCTTTTAAATAGGTAGATGGTATTTCACAGATTTTAGTCATTTTTGTAAAGTTATATACAGTAAAATTCACTCTTTTTGGTGTAAAGTTATAGATTTAGACATACGCACACAGTCATGTAACTACCACCACAATCAAGATACAGAGGAGTTCTACCCCCCTCCCCAAATTCCTTCATAATGCTCTTTGTGATCAATCCCTTCACTGAACCTCAATTCCTGGCAACAACTGATCTGTTTTCTGTTCCCATAATTTTGCCCTTTACAGAAAATATCTACCATCTTAACATTCCTGCCACTCAGGAATTCAAAAGATGCCCGCTCTCCTCCTTGGATGTAAACCCAGAACAGCAACGCAGGAACCACACACAGCACTGATGGGGCCCAGGGCAGGAAGATGGTCCTGAAAGCTAGCAAAGCTTTAAAGTCCCCTCTGCTCTCCCCAACCCCCAAGAGAGCAACAAAACACTACAGGATGTCCTCAGCATTTCAGTTGGCGGCCAGGAGCTGTGGGGCTCAGCGGGAAGTCCCGGAGCTCAGAGCAGCAGCCACTGTAGCTCTTCTGCTCTCTTTGGTCACAGCCTGGGCCTCCTCCTCCCCAGAAACTTCAAGTATCATTCTATGATAAGGCTTTACTCTATTCACCCTTGACTCTGAATTTCCTACTTTTAGGCAAACATAGCTGTTTTCCTATAGCCAGGTTGGAAGGTCCTTATTATATTATGCAAATTGGCAGGTGCTTCTAATTTTATGGAGGAAGAATAATCCTCCTAAACCTAGGAAAGTCATCCCCCAGAGGGCCTGGAGGGACACATGGGCACAGTGAGGATGGAAGGAAGAGAGGGAGGGAGGGAAGGAGGAAGGAGACTTCTCCCACACAATGGAATCTGCCGAATCAGTCCTGACCTCCAGAGGTGTCCATTGTCCCAGCACACCCCACTACATACCTAGCTCGGCTCCTGCCTGTCCTGGCACTGAGCTCGTGGGAGCCAACTTGGGAGAGCCAGCCCTACCTTCAAAGACTCAGCCCCACAGCCCGCAGTTTCTTCCACCGAGGGCTCCCATCCCCTTGCTTAGGGGGAGCTTCCCTCCACACCAGGATATTCTTTCAAGGCCAGCTGCAACAGGTGGCAAGGCTTCAACAGCTCTACCCAGAGCGCTGGCAGCAGCCAGGCTGTCAGGGGGGATTCCACCCGCAGCACCTCTGCTGACGAAGGGGTTGAGGTCATGACAGCTCAATTTAGAGCCTGATTTCAGGAGGCCAGTGGGATTCCAGAGAGTGACAACAGCCTGCTTTGAATAAGATTATTCAACTCAAATATAGAATCAAGTATGCATTTTCTAAGTGGTCCAGAAGGCAGGGACTGTAAGCACATGTTGTCAGCGAGTGCCTGCTATGTAAAGACCATGGTCCTGCAGACAGGGCGGGAGGTAGAGGCGCTGGGAGAGGGCACATCTAACGTCAAATGTGTGACAGGTTCCTCCAGCCTCACCACGCTTTTATTTTCTTTTAATATTCAGAATACCTGGGAACCTGGCCAGAAAAAAAGCTCCAAAGCCTCCTATCATGGCACTGAAATTGGGAAAAAATTCCTAGAGCCCTTTCACTAAAAGGAGTCTTGTTAGGGTTAGAGAGAAAAGTGAGTGAGAGGGGAGGGGTGAGGGGAGAGGGGAGAGATGAACCAGGGAGGGGATCAGAGAGCAGGGAAAGGGAGAGGAAGAGAGTGGAGGAGAGCAGGGTAGGGGAGGGCAGGGGAGTTCTTTTCTTTTAATCTAGATAAGCTTTGGGGTAAAGCATTAAATAAAACCCACATTTGAATTTTTAATATATATATATATTATATATATATATATATATATCACAAGCCAAATTTTAAGTTCTTGTAAAATGAAAAAAGCAGATTACAAACATCCATTATGATCTTGTTTTAGCAAAAACAATTAATGGGAGATATATATATTTGAATGTTTGATTCCAATAAATAATGATATATTGTAATATAGAGTCTAAATATATAATTAAATATCATATATGACACATAATACACAGTATATACAATAACTCTATGTTACATATGACATATATAGTGTATGCTATATATAGTAATTATATATTAGACTATATACTCTAACTCTAGCCACTAAATTAGAACAAAAGTAGAACTAAATATGCCAAAAGTTTTTGTCTTTGCTCTTCTATATTTTCAACTTCTTCTACAAAAATTCTACATTATTTTGTAATCATATTCAAGAGTTATTAAAACATTTGAAAGTTTGTATGACTCAATGCAAAGCCCTCCCAATATTCACTGCCCCCATTTGGAATGTGACCCCAAAGCTCCCGTCAGAGTAGGGCCCTGCTGAGGCTATCAGGATGGACAGACCTCTTTCTGTTCACTGCCAGCACAGTGAGGAGACAGGGTCAGGTGAGCCTTCCACTCTTCGAATGCCTGCAAAGGGGTCTTCCTCTCATCTTCAGAGTGGGCCCTGGGGGGGACGGCAGGAACGATTGTACAGGCAGCTCCTCCTGAGTCATCTGTCTGCCTCTCATCTTCTGCAGACAGGCTGCCCCTGGCCTCCTGGAGCTGCAGGCTCTGGATAAGCAACTGACAAGCTTCCAAGTCAGCTTCCCACACTTTCCCAAGCAGTGGACACTTGCAGCTAAGACAAAGGGGAAACAAAAGCATAAAAGTTAATTCATTGACGTTTCATTGTACCAAGTCAATAGGTTGTCTACCTGGCTAAAAGTTAGCTAGTTAACTACTTAATTTTACATAGTTATGGATTATTTCAACCAGAAGTTTCAGAGGGGTCAAATTTGTATACCATCAAGTAACAATGAAATGAGTATTGGTCCTTCTCGCTACTTGCTCTGCAAGGACGTCCAAGATCCTGTGTATTTTTCCAGACTCAGTGGGCCAATATAACACAGCCCCCACTCAGGTCTGTTCTGCAGCCCTGCTGGCTTTCTTTGAGTCCCCAGACCTACCTAACTCTCCCTGGCTAAATACTTTTTTGTGTGCTGTTTCATCTGCTGAGACTGTCCCTCCTCTGCCATTTCCCCTTACCAACACACACTCACCCAGGTAATGTAAATGAATGAAGCAGTGCGGGGGTAATATAAACCATAACAGCTGACATTCAGCCTCAGTGGCAGAAAGCAATAGAGAGGAGCAGACTCTGGCTAGCAGGAAGGATGTATCCCTCTACAGGGGAGTCCATAAGCTCAAGTCAACTAAAGCTTCAAATTCAACTAAAGAAATATAGATTCGATGTTGACAAAAATTTTGATTTTTCATGGAAGCCAAAAATCTGGGATTTTAAATGAAAATATGTATTTTTCATCTATCCATTCAGCTTCAGGCTGGATATTTTTACACATCTACCTCCCATTCAATAATCCTTCCTTCTACTGTTTCTAATCTGCTATTCAATTTATCTACTGTGTTCTAAGTTTTAGTTACTTTATTTTTCAGTTCTATACGTTTTATTTGATTTTCTTTTCTATATTTCAGTTCTCTGCTGAAATTATCTATCATGTCCTCTATTTTCTTGAACATACTCATAATTTTTTAAGGCCTGTGTCTATAAATGATGAATACAGAAGGAAAAAGAAAAAATGAGACAGAAGCAATATTAGAAGAGACATTATCTAAGAAATTTCAAATATTGACAAAGGACATCAAACTACACACCCAGGAAGCACTACAATCTCAAAGCAGGAAAAATCAAAGGAAAAAACATACCTAGGTTCACCATAGCAAAACTGCTGAACACCAAAGACAGAACAAAACTTTTAAAAGCAGTCAGAGGAAAAAAACACAGTAACTTCAAAGGAACAATAATATGGGTGACAAAAACAGTGGAAGCTAGAAGACAATAAAACAACATCTTAAAAATGCTGAAAGAAAATAACTGCCAATCTTGAAATTATACACTCATTTTTAATAGCCTTCAAAAATAAAAGTAAAACAAAAATATTTTCAGATAAATAAAAACTGAAATAATTCCTTGGCAGCATATCCATAATAAAGAAAATGATCCCAGCTGGAAGCAAGGACATGCATAAAGGAATGAAAAACAGTGGGAAGAGCAAATATGTGGGTAAATCTAAGTGAATATGAATATTAAACAATAATTTCCTTTGCAGTCTAAAATATATTTATATATTTTATTTATAGTAAATAAATATAAATAGAAAATAAATATAAATATATTTATTTATAAATAATATAAAATTAAAATACATGACAACCAGCACAAAGGGAAGGAGGGAGGGAAAAGAATTAAAGTAGGTGCCGGCCCGGTGGCCTAGAGGCTAAGTTCACAGGCTCCGCTTCCGCGGCCCAGAGTTCACAGGTTCAGATCCCGGGCTTGGACAGACACACCACTTGTCAGGCCATGCTGTGGCGGCGTCCCATATAACGTAGAGGAAGATGGGCACGGATCTTAGCCCAGGGCCAATCTTCCTCAGCAAAAAGAGGAGGATTGGCATCGGTTGTTAGCTCAGGGCTAAACTTCCTCACAAAAAAAAAAAAAAAAAATTAAAATAGTCTTAGGTCCTTGTGTTGTCCATAAAGTAGTAAAAGTGTTCATTTATAGTAGACCATAATACATTAAGTATTCATATTGAATCTCTTATGGCAATCATAAAACAGAGAGGTTAAAAGAATGTATAGCTGACAAGAAAATATGGGAGAAATTTTAAAAATTAAAAGTACTTAAGTATTGCTTTAATTAAAGCAATAAAGGAGACACAAATGAACATGACAGAGATGGGAAAATGGTAAAATGGAAATACTTATACCCAAATATATTAGGAATTACATTAAATATCAATAGATAAATATTGTATTTAAAAGGCAGAGATTTTAGGCTAGAATAAAAAATGGAAATCCAATTACATGTTGTTTACAAGAGACACACATGAAATATAACGATACAAACAGGTTGCAAGTAAAAGGATGCAATGACAAGTCATGAAAGCATTATTAGAGATAAAGTGTAGTGGGGAAAGGACAGTCTTTTCAACATATGGTGCTATGTTAATTGGATGTCACTATAAGAAAAAAAATCAAATCATGACTACTGGCTCACACATTTCAGATGGATTGTAGATCAAAATGTGAAAGATAAAACAATAAAACTTCAAAATTAATACAAGATAATATCTGTATGACTTTGTAGTAGGCAAAGATCTCTTAAACAGGATATAAAAAATACTAACCATAAAGAAAACAAATGATAGCTTTGACTGCATTAACATTAAGAACTATATCCATCAATAAAACACCATTGAGAGTATGAAATGGTAAGCCACAGAGTGGGAGAAATTATTTGTAAAACATGTAACCAACAAAGGACTGATTCCAGAATATAAACAGAACTCATACAAGTTAGTGAGAAAGAGACAGACAACCAGTTTTAAAAAAGGGCAAAGACATGACCAGGCACTTTGAGAAGAGGGCCTCTAAATGGCCAATAAGTAACGTATGAAAAGATGCTCAACACCATTAATCATCAGGAAAATGCATATTAAACCACAGTGTGATGTACTATACATCAACAAGATGGCTAAAATGTAAAAGCTTGATGATACTAAGTGTCAGAAAAGATATGGAGCTATTCATACTCTCACATACTGCTGGTGGGAGTGTACATGAATGCAATGTCTTAAAATCTCTTTGACATTGTACTAATGTCAGAAATATGTCAATCATGTGACCCAGCAACACAACTCCTAGGTACAGGCATACCTCATTTTATTATGCAGATACTGTGTTTTTTTACAAGACCCACCATCAGCAAAAAGATTATCATTCCCTGAAGGGTCAGATGATGGTTAGCATTTTTTAGCGATAAAGTATTTTTAAATTAAGGTATGTACATTGTTTTATTAGACGTAATGCCATTGCACACTTAATAGACTACAGTACAGTGTAAACATACTTTTATATGCATTTTTATATATATGTTGGCTTATTTAAACCAAAAAATTCGTGTGACTCGTTTTATTGTGATATTTGCTTTATTGCAGTGGTCTGGAACCAAACCCGCAACATCTCTGAAGTATGCCTATTACATACTCAGTGAAATGCATAGACAGTCAATTCTCATTATTCACAGTAGTTATATTCCATAAAGTCACCACAAGCACTGAATTAGTGAATACTGAACAATCCCAAAGGAAATATAGGGTCAGGTTCCCATGAGCCTCTGGTCACAATATTTCCATCAACCAATCAATATATAATCTTGTTTTACGTGTGTTTCTGTTTAAAGACACCTTATTCAATATATATTGTAGATTAATGAACACTGAACCCATGGCTAACAGCACTATAATTCATGCCTGAATGAAGCCTATCTAACGTACGTATATTCTCCACAGGGCACAACACATCATTCTTGCACTTAGGAGCACTAGACAGCACTTCAGCACTACACTTGCGGGCCATTTTAAACAGCAAAATCACCAAGAAAAAGCATAAAAATGCAAAAACCGTGGCACTAAATAGCAAAAAGGGCACTTGCTTACAGAACAAGAACTGTGATGAGAAGGCAGAGCATTGCCTTGACCAACCTCAGCTGGGAACATGAACATAGGTGACTCAAATTTTTAGCCACTCTGTGCATGTCCATGAATGACAGGGAAAGCTCTGCAGGTATTGATTTGGGGGTTACAAATAAATTTTAATGAGTAGGCCAATTCACAAATACAGAATCCAGAAATAATGAAGATCAACTGTAAGTATGATCATATAACATTATTTGTAACAGCCAAAAGCTGGGAGGGAAAACAAACGTCCAGAAATAGAAGAATAGATAAATTGTGGAATATTCATTCCTTGGAATATTATACTTCAAAGAAGATGAGCAAATTAGTACAATCTGCAACAATACGGATGAATCTCATAAACATAAGGTTGGGCAAAAACAAAAAGACAAAGAGGAGGCACTATGATTCCATTTACTTAATATTTTAAAATATGCAAAACTAATCCATGGTGTTAGAAATCAGGTTAGTGGAGAAGGGGGGTAATGACAGAGAGAGGCATAAGGTGGGCTGCTAGTGTACTAGAAGTGTTTTATTTCTCAATGGTGGTGGTTATGAGTATGTTCATTGTGTGAAAATTCATCAAGCAGTACATTCACGATGTGTGCACCTTCTGGTTACGTTATATGCTGGTCTAAAATAATAAAAAGAGAGAAAGAGAGAAGACACGTTTTCTATGCCACATACTGGAAAAAGAGAGCAGGGAATGGGATCTGGTAACATGAGAAGCAATAATCGTTAGTGAGGAACACGCATCTCGTATTTTCCAGCTTCCTAATTGTAGCCAATCTGATAGGTGTAAAGTGGCATCCTGTTATCTGAGGTTGCATTTCCCCACTAGGATCGCTCCACAGCCACTCAGATTTTCTTCTGCGAATTGTCTCTTCATATCCATTGCCTGATTATTCCTTTCTTGGGTGTCCCATCGTCCTCCTAGGGCTTTTGGTGAAGAAAACATTTTATTGCCACTTTAATATCTTTAATTTTTATAGTCTACTCAATTTTCTATTTCTTCTTGTGTCCTGTTTAACACTTTATATATTTCAAAGAAATCAATCCATTTTCTCGTGGGTTTCATATATGTTGTAACTTTTGTTCACAATTT